CCAGGCCCCACCCTCTGCGCTAGCTAAGTGCGTCCTGGCCGAGGTACCCCGGCAGGTGGTGGAGTACTATGCCAGCCAGGGCATCAGCCCCGGAGCGCCCAGGCCCAGCACTCCGACCACGACCCCCAGCCCAAGCCCATGATTGCCACCCCGGACTGACACTCCCTCAGCCTCAGTGAGTCCTGGGGACCCAGAGGGGTGGGCGGGGGTGGGGGTACAAGTGGGGCTCTTTGAAGCTCATCTTGGCTGGGTGAGATGTAGAGGAGGATGCTCATGACTGTCCCATCCTTCCCCAGGTGCCTGTCCTGACCCTTGTGACTCAAGTGAACAGTGCCTCTCCTCCTTGGACTGACTGTGCCCCTGGTCCTGAAGTGAGTGGTGAGCCTGCCCCATCTCTCCAGGCCCCATGCCCCTTGGCCAAGTAGCCCTCGGTGACTTTCTTCAGTGACCCTGACCTCGTGGCTGTTAATAAAGTAAACCACTCCTAGCACCTTAGCCTCTACTCATCAGGCCCCAAGTGCCCACCGGACAGTACACAGTACCCACCCTCACATGTAGCATTAAGAAATGAGGACCAGCACCTTTCAAAAATCCGAGCCAGAGCTCCCCAGGCAGCTTGATATCTCTGCAGTTTCCCCCCAACTATGTGCCAGCGGGATCTGAGAGTCCCTGTCATCACCCCAAGCCCCAGGAAGCCCAGGCACCATGGGGGCTAATTATGGGAAGTGGGAGGGGGTAATTAGGAGCTGTCAAGGAGGTAGGCTGATACCCTCTTACAACTATCTCCAGAGAAGCCCAGCTGAGTCCCCCAGGGGCAGAACCCCAACCCCCACACAGCTGTAGGGCGGGTCGAGAAGGGGTGTTGGGGGGACTGAAGGTGTGGGCAGCCTGGTTCTCCTGGGTGTGAGAACATGTGTGTGGTCATGCACTGCACGTACCTGAGTCTCCATGAGTGTAGCCCTCGGGGCTCAGGAAGTCCAGTTGAGTACTCGTAGTAACATTCACACCCTCAAGCATCATTGTTTAGGATCTATGAAGCTTTGTGCTAAGTGCTTTAAAAGTCTTCATGCTCACTAAGTAGTAACCATTATTTCCCCTATTTTTCTGACCAAACAAGTGAGGCTTGATTTACGCTTACCCATGGTCAAGGTCAAGGCTGAACTTAGGCCCAGGCCCATTTGCTAAAGTACCCACACTCTCACCCAAACTTCTATTTGAAGCCTAGCTGTGTGACCCTCATCTTGAGACCTGGGCGTATTTCTACATGGCCTACGGACCGACGAGCCTCCGCCCATGTTTGCTTAGCAGGGCCTCAGCCAGTTGAGGAAGGTGTGCAAGAGCAGTGGTGGGTGTGGGCTGTAGCTCCAGAGAGCAGGCAAGAACACAGGTGGTACCCAGAGGGAGGGAAGGGACGCTCCCCGCCACAGCCTCCCCATCCAACGATGGGTATGAAAGTGGGGGGGGGGGTAAAGATGCAGTAAGTCACTCAGAGAGAAGAGCCAGAGAAGATAACCAGTGGCCACTGGTGGGAAAGAGAACAAAATGAGAAATAAATGCTGGGGAAGATGGGGGAGAGGACTCCCATGGCAGACTTCTGAGTGGAGGAGGGATGAGCTGGGCTAAAGGAGGGGGAGGAGGGAACAAGAACTGTGATGGAAAGAGACAGCTGGGGAGGGGGTGGGGAGAGGGGGCAGAAAGGAAGAGAAACATATGGGCGCCTCTTCCCCCACACCTGACTGCTTCTCCCCGCTTATTTTGTCCCTCAGAGGACCTACAGCAGTGGCTGGTGAGGTAGCTACTCCCAGCTCAAAGCTTCTGCTCTGCCCAGAGACCTAGCGCACTCTCTGCAGGTTGCTAAGCCAGAGGGCTGGTTACCATGGCAACGGGGAGACCTCAGGATAGCCACAGACTGACCTGGCCGGTTGTGGCTCCTAAGCCGTGATGGTGAGAGAGGGAGGCTCCATCTAGCCACAATCCCTGCCTCTCCACCCGTTTTCCCTGGGCCCCCAGAACTGAGATGCACCACTCCCTCCAGGTGGGGCTTCCCAGCCTCCCCGCCCCCTCTGGCACACACAGGCCTGGAGCAAAGACAAAGAGCGCAAGACAGTATTCAATAACAGAGTTCCACCTGGACTTCAAGTTTAATTCACAAAACCTGTGTCTTCTCAGCTCCTTGGTCTCCTGGGGAAAGTCTCACCTCTGCCCTCAGAGACACAGGTCACAGCAGGGGTAAAGATGCAGGTCTGAAGCTGCTGGAGGGAGCTGCGAAGACCGGTGTGCAGCCTCACCCAGGCTTCGGTCAGGAAGCTGGAGTCCCATAGGAAGTCCCTTTGGTGAGGCTGCCTCAGGGGCTTCTTGGGGAGACCACTAGGGCTCCCACCCTAAGGAGATGCCAGAACTGGAAAGGTGTCAGAAGTCCTCCACATGGGGGTTAGATGAGATAACTGAGAGCCAGAGAGCAAGTGACTGACTCCAGGTGACAGGTATCCTGCGCAGAGCTGGGACGAGTGCCCAGATCTCCAGACACCTGCCCAGGGTTCTGTCCCAGACCTCACCAGCCACCCCCAGAGGTCCTTGGGTCTTTGCTGCTCTGCCCAAGAGGCCACTGGGTTGTGTAGGAAGAAAGCCTCTTAGAGTTGTCTGTCTTACTATTAGAAATTGAAATTTTGAAAATGCAGTAGTAGTCCTATAAAGGGGAACGTATACGGCTCAGAAGGGAGACACAACCTCATGGCTAATTACCACTTAATGCACTACAGGCTGAAAAGTGTGGCTTAAAATCCACTCCCTCACCTCCCTGTCACTGTTACCCCGCCAACATCCACCCCCACCGCACACACACACACACAGATCCTAGCACTGGTCCCTGCAGATCTCTGTGCTGGTCCTGTAGGGTAGGACAAGAGGTGGAAGGTTTCTGTGCACAACCTCCGTGAAGGAAGGTTACCCCTCTTCCAGAAAATGACCAGCATGTAACCTCGGAGCCTGGAGGGTACAGAAAATAAAGGGTCATGCGTGTGGTCACACAAAGGAGAGTGTCGCCCCAGAAGGTGCTCATTAACCACCTAGGGAAGAGTTCCCCGCCTCCGGAGTGGCGCCCCCTACCGACCCACTCATTCCACCACGTCGCGGCCCCCGGGGCTCAGAGGAAGAAGTGGCCGTGGTCCCCCGCCCCGGTGCAGCTCGCCGCCAGCCGCTCGCAGCGCTCCTTGTAGAGGTCGCGCTCCCTGGCCAGGCGGGCCACCTCAGCCCGCAGCGCGTCCAGCTGCGCGGCCAGGCGGGCGCGCTCGGCCTCCAGCCCGCGCCGCTGCTGCAGCCTCTTGGAGCGACAGGCCTGCGCGTAACCGCGGTTCTTCAATGTGCGGCGCCTCTGCTTCAGCCGCAGTGCCTCGTCACGGCCGCAGCCCCGCAGCTGCCGGTTTAGCTCCCGCACAGACATCGACAGCAGTGCCGCGTCGGAAAAGCGCTCCGCGGGCTGCAGAGCGAGCGGGCAGAGGACCAGGTCAGCGCGGGCGCGCCTGGATCCGCGCTCAGGTGGCGGCGCCTGACGCACCCCGCCCCGGGAAGGCTCCGCCCGCCGCTGCCACCTGAGCCCGACGCTCGCGCTCGCGCAAAATCTAGCCCGCGGTGGTTCCCAGGGCCCCGCAAGTGTCGGTGCGGTGGATCTAGCCCCGTTTCTGACCCACCCGCGGCGCTGGCCAAGCAGTCGTGCGCCTGAACCCGCGCCGCCCGGGCAAGTCCTCAGCAGCCGACTTCGGACCCACGCGTGTCCGGCGGCAGGGCCCCCCGCCCCTGGGTGCACCTCGCATCCCTGTTCTGAAGGCCACAACCCTGTGACCCTCAAAGGATTTGGATTACATCTAATGCCCGCAACACCCCCATCTGTGTCTATAATTAATAGGATGAGCCGAATCCTTCCTGAGAAGGTGGGGGGGTGGGGGGCAGGGAAACATGAAATCTTGAAAAAAACGAACCTCATTCTGGTTCCCATAACTCCGTTCCAAGCACAGCACCTTCCCTGGTTTCCACACGCGGAGTATCTGTTTACTTCTCAGTAATAGCCCTGTTCTCTCCATGCCCTTGAATTCCCAACCTCTCTTCTTGCAGTCCTCATCTAACCTTATGATTTCCTCCCTCCTGGTTCAGCTCACTCATTTCTCTCCATTAGAAAAAGGGGAGCAGGAAAGAATGTGTTTTTCTCTCTTGCTTCTCTTAGGGGCCCTTCTTCCCTTCTCCTGCATACTAACCCACCTGGGGAACACTCCTTCCTCTTTCCCTCTGTCCTCCCTCATCCTGCCTCACCCTCAAAATGTCTGATTTCTTACCTGGGTATGTTGGGCTTCTGTCTCTTCTGGGCTCCCTGGGTAGTAGCTGTGGGGCCCCTGGCCAGGTACTGGGCCCTGACCCTGCAGCAGCTCCACGGCCTCCTCGGGACTCAGCCCCAGAGTGTCCCCAGTCCCCAGCTGCTGCTGCAGGGTAGCCAGCCAGTACAGCTCCTCCAGGCCTGGCCTGGGGCCGTCAGTGGCCCCCCCAAGGCCTGGGTCACTGAAGGTGGGTGAAGGAGGCACTGAGCTGTAGGGTGTGGAGCCCAGTGAGGCTGTGGGGGGGACAGATGGCCCTCCGGAGGGTTCCTGTTTCACCTCAAACTTCATTAAGTCGAAGTCATTGACATATTCCGTGGCCAGGGGACTGGGAGGTAGTGCCATTCTGAGGCTGGATTGGGAGGGGAGCACCTGCAAAAAAGAGGAGAAACCTAGAGGGTGTCTGCCTGCCTCTCTCTCCTAAATCTGCTTCCCCTAAAGCCCAAGTGTCCTGCAGCCTATTCTGGAAAGTCAGGGGGAAAGTCAAGGTGCTGTGCGCTGCTGGTTTCCCACCATCACCTCTGGGCTGGGGGCACATTCAGGCGGCAGGGTCTCCTGACTAGGGACACACAGGTCTACGTGAAGACCCGACTCGTGTAGAGACTAGCACAGCCTCTGGCCCTTCAGGTGCCTCTGAGATCTTGGAAGAACAAGAGGAATATGGCAGAGTTCCCAGCTCCAGTACTGGGATGTACTGAGAGGCGCTGTCATCTCAAGAGGCATTATTTCAATTCCAAGCAATTAAAACAATTTGCTTAATTAACCGTGACAGAGTATGTGTGTTTCGTAGGACAGTGGAAAGGCACAAGTGTTGTGAAGTTTAACATAAGGATAAGGTGCTATTTATACCTCTTTCTCTCTCAGCACCCAGGCCATCGTTTTGCACAGAAAAGATCCTCAGTTCTAAATCAATGAATCTCTCTTTGTAACAGCAACAGCTTTTCCGGGGACAAAAAGGAAGGTCCTAGAATCAGTTCAGGAAAGATCAGGACTGAGTGGTGACCCTCCTCTCTCAAGGCCAGTCTGTCCAAAGGAACACTTAAAATTGGCTTTCCTCCTACTCAGAACCTACTTACTGCATTGTGGGAACTTAAGCAGAGCACCTTCCCCTTTCTAGCTGGGAACTTCCCATTCTGTTCAGCAAAGGCAATTAAATAACATTTCCCAAAACATGTTCTGTGAAACATTGATAAGTACCTAAGAAGAGGTCTGTGCTCAGATATTTTTGAGAAATGCCTCCCATGCCCGCCCACTGCAGATTCATGAAGCACAGGCACTTATTAATCTGAGAAGTCCTTCTGTAAACTATGTTCAGCTGTGACACCAAGTGTCCCAAACTATGCCAGCAAGCAATTCCCCCCCCCCCATTGTTTTCAGCCATGGAGTATGTTCCCACCTGAGGAATCTCTGGCTAAAGGCCTCCAAAGATCCTTCCCAGCCTGGAAGTCCCCAGACCCAGCCCAGATCCCAGTCCCAAAAGTCCCACACTCGACCCCAGAAGGGGAAAGTCAGGGAGCCCCTCCCCCCCGGGGGTTTAGAGTTTGACCCCCTCCTCCCAGCCACACCTCAGACCCCGAGGCTCTACCCAGGACTAAGGTGGAAGGACAGGACTCCTCTCTCTTCCCATCCCAGGCTTTTTGGCCTTATCACAGAGGCCCTTGCCCTTGAGAAGGCAGAGGGAATAGGAGCAAAGACTCATGTTGAAGGATCTGATCCCGGCAGGGAGGTGAGAGCAAGGCAAAACCCTGACAGAGGTATCCAAAGAGAACTGGAGGAAGAGATGGATGAGGAGGTTTGCTTATCTTCCGATGTGAGAGCAGTGAGAGCCATCATGCCAGTGAGAATGGGAGTGGACAGAGAACTAAAGTGTGAGAATCCCTGAAAACAGAAAAGACAGAGCAGGCAGCAGATGTCAGGAGGAGACCTTAGGATGAGAGGCCTGGTATCGGCAGGCCCAGAACATACTCACTTCAGGAATGGCAGAGATGATGTGGGTAGTGTCAGAGCTGGCCTGACACTACTCCCCCAGAGGCTGGAGGCCCCATCAAGCAGGACATGGTACCTCCAAACAAGCGACTGAATGTGGGTCCAGCGAGCCCACAGGGGCGCTTTTAAGGGCCAGCTCTCTGAGATCATCTGTGGTCCTCAGGCCCCTGGCCAATGAAATAAGCGGATCATTTGCATATCTCATTGGCCTGAGGATGGGGGGGCCTGAGTTTGTGACATGTTGGGGAGGGCAGAGAGGAAGTGAGGAGAGGACCAGTGTGCCTTTTCTCAAGAAAAGGAAGGGGGCACCTTTCCCAACAAAGCTCACATATGCTCAGATCCCCAGTACAGAGAGCCTCAAGGGCCCTGAGCCCCACTTGATATGAACATGCCCTCAGCCCTCAGTGCCTGAAAGCCTGAGACTGGAAGAGATGACTCTGAGTGGTGAACCCCAGCACCCTCACCCTCTAAGCCCGTGCAGCCCCAGTCTATATTCAAGGTGAGTACAGTTTCTCCCGAACCCACTTTCACCTGGCTTGTTGGGTTTGTGACGTGTTTTTAGGAATACTCACTTTCTGCCACCCCCACCAGGACTGGCCTACTGCCCCTCACAGCTTCACATCAGAAAGATAAGCAACCGTCCCCCCATGAATCATGAATCAACAGGACTTGGCCATCCAGCTCAGCCTCGCCCACTCTTGCTGATCCAATCCAGCTTGGTAGAAGAGAGAGTGAAGAATTCTGCTATTTCCTTCCAGGCCACATCAGGACGCTGAAATCTCATCACTGCAATCCTTCTAAGACACTTTATAACTGCCCTCACATGCCCTCTGCTTCCCCTCACCTCTTCCTTCCATGTGTCTCTGTTCCTCTCTTTCTTTCTCACTCGTCCCAGCTCCCAGATGGCTGGGCGGTGACCTACATTTTCAGCCTAATCCCCTAACACCTCTTAGAGCTATCATCCCCAGTCAAAACTGGACTGGGGATACTAGGAATTAGCCACGGAGATGTTTAAACTAGTCTGAAGCTGTTTAATAGGGTCTGTACTAGAACACTCCCTCCCTACTGAGGACACCCAAACCCTTCCATGGGAAAACAGTCCCTTTCTCCCAATCTGGAGAGAGGCCTGGATGTCCATTAGCCCCAGGAATCATCATATAATCTGGTCCCAACCTGAGGTGCTGGGTGACAAGCTGGTAAATTCAGATGATCTAAGTCAAAGTGTGGTCCCCAGACCAGTGGCATCACCTGGAAACACGTTAAAAATGTAAATCAGGCCCTCCCTGGTGGCGCAGCGGGTTAAAGCACTGCACTAAGAAACTAAGCCACTTCCGCATGAGTTCGATTCCCGCCTGCCCCGGAGGTGACCACATGGCGAGGCAGACCCCTCCTGACCCGCCCGCTGCTCCCCTCAGCAGTGTACTTCGTCGATCTGCCTGTTCTGCTTCCCGCTCTGTCTCTGGTGAATCCTCTCACCCTCCGCATCTCTGGCCTGTACCCCAGTTCTGTACGAATAAATAAATAAATCTTTAAAAAAAAAAAGTAAATCATCTCGGCCCTCCCTGGTGGCCCAGCGGGTTAAAACACAGCACTGAGAAGCTAAAGCTACTTCAGCATGAGTTTGAATCCCGCCTGCCCCTGAGGTGACCACATGGCGTGGCAGACCTCTCTTGACCCACCCGCTGCTCCCCTCAGCATTGTACCTCATCGATCTGCCTGTTCTGCTCCCCACTCTGTCTCTGGTGAAGCCTCTTACCGCCCCTGAGCCTCTGGCCTGTACCCCAGCTCTGTATGCACAAATAAATAAATCTTTAAAAAAAATGTAAATCATCTCGCCTCTCTTCAAATCTACTGAATCAGAAACTCTGGGGGCAGGCCCCAAAAATCGGTTTGAATGAGATCTCTGGGAAATTTTGATGCACACTAAAGTTTGAGAATCACTGGTCACCGAAATGCCTACAGTCAACTCAGTTTCCTTTAGGGTGTGTGTATGTGGGTCTGTGTGGTCTCTCCTGCATTCTCTTTATGCACATGTAAGAAGGCCTAGACAGAGGACATCTCTCTCCCCACACCTGACCTCCACTTGTTGGAGAAAAGGCCATTGTTCAAATAGAAAGCTTTCTCAATGTGACCGCCTGTGCTGTTTGTGCAGAAGACCCAAAAAGCCCAGGACAAAGGAGCATGGCTGAAAATGGGAACAGGGATCATGGAGACAGGGAATCGGCACACGTGCCCTCAGAATATGACTCTAAGGTAAACACCCAGAAAAAAAGCCCACAGAATTCCCTTGTTGCAGGAGTAGGGAGGACTGACTGCAGCCCCTTTTCGTGCCTGGCCTGGCTGCCAGACACTGGCCTCCCTGGCAGCTGTCAGGTCTGTATGATCTTCTTGTTTACTGGGAGGCTCCAAGGAGAGGTGAGGGGGCTAAGCTGCTAATGATCTAAAGGCGTCAGACGGAACAAGCTCAGGCAGTTGAGTGGCCCAGGGCTCAGACCAGGCAGCGCTGACCAGAGAAATGGGCCTGGGGAGTGAGGATTGCCAGAGGGGTGGACCAGGGCACAGAGAAGAGAGACAGCCACAGCCTGTGGAGGCCAGGGAGGTGGCTAATGGGTCCTTTTGGGAGAGGGAAATGCATACTGAGGCTGACTGACTCGGGGACATCTGGCGACAGGAGAGAAGGGTGAAGGAGAAGAAGTGAGGTGACACTAGGAGTGACAGAACAGAGCAAGGCAGGACCTAGGCAAGGAGGCAGTAGCTATAGAGCTGGACTAAAAGGAGAATAAGCCGGGGCCCCCCCACATTTGATTTCGAGGACACAGAGGAATGTGGGCACCTGGGAAAGATAGAAAGAGCCCTGGGAGACTAAAAGAGAGAGGGAAGCTTCTGGGAGTGAACCAAGGAGGGATTGCAGGGTAACAAGAATGAAGATAGGGGGCTCTCCCTTGTGGCGCAACGGATTAAAGCACCATATTATGAAGCACTCCGAAGCCACTGCAGCATCAGTTCAATCCCTGCCAGGCTGGTGACCCACATGGCGTGGCAGACCTCTTCTGACCTGCCCACTGCTCCCCTCAGCAGGCTGTTCTGCTCCCCACTCTGTCCCTGATAAATCCTTTTACCTACCATACCTCTGGCCTGTACCCCAGTCCTGTAAGCACAAATAAATAAATCTTAAAAAAAAAAAACAACTTGTGCTAGAATGAGACATATCATATATATATATTTTTTTTTTACGATTTATTTATTTGTGCATACAGAACTGGGGTACAGGTCAGAGGTTTAGGGGTGGTGAGAGGCTTCACCAGAGACAGAGTGGGGAGCAGAACAGGCAGATCAACGAAGTACACTGCTGAGGGGAGCAGCGGGCGGGTCAGGAGAGGTCTGCCGCGCCATGTGGTCACCTCCAGGACAGGTGGGGATCGAACTCATGCGGAAGTGGCTTAAGCTTCTTTGTGCTGTGCTTTAACCTGCTGCACCACCAGGGAGGGACTCATATATATATATTTTTTTAAATGGAGATAGGAACGAAGAGCACAAGTGGCAAGAAGGGACAGAGGAGAGTAAGGTCAACTAGAAACAGATACCGAGGGACAGACAGGTGGCCAGGTCACAGAGGAAGATCGCTGGCCAACGCACAAGCAGACAGAAAGATGAGAGCAGAGAGGGCCAGGCAGGCCAGGGCCTAGAGGAGTGA